TGACTGATACAGGAAGAGATTGTCCCTTCTTCCCCTGCAGAGCATCTGGTGGGTTCAAACCGTGAGCCTCTGGGATTGTAGTTGCAGTTCCTTGCCACTAGGCCACCAGAGCTCCCCCTTCTCTTTCATTTTTATTGATAAAAATGCTCAAGTACCCCTTTTCTTAGTTTCCCCCCCTTTTCTTGTTGTGTACCATACAATTGGATCTAACTGGCACAGGAGGAGATTGCCCCTCATTCTCCAGCAGAGTATCTGGTGAATTTGAATAGTGCACCTTTGGGATTTTAGCACAGCTTCTTGCCACTAGGCCACCAGTACTCCCCTCAAGTATCTCTTTTCTTAAGAATTTCCTTTCTTTTCCTGATCCTGCTATACACTCTGTGTATACACATAGACATACACACACACACACACACACACAATTACAATTGTCTTTGTCTTCTTTTGTTTTAGAATTCAAAGGTAAATTTATACTGCTTCTGCATCTTCAGCCACTTTCAATTTTGTTTTTGTTTCTACTAGTTTTGCTTCATTTGTCAAACTAATTTTTGCATTTTTACACAGGAACATATCAATCTATTAAAACTTTATTCTTGAAGGTCACCAATGTCCCCAGGCCTATTCTCCTATTAATTCCTTCCTTTCAGATCCTACTTTTAACTTCTCAGTTGCTTTTTACAGAGTAGATAATCCCTCCTAGAAATTATCTTCTGGTTCCTACAACTCCATGCTCTCCACATTTTTAGCATGGAGTTTGAAAGCAGAGCCTTAGTTTCTGATACTGCCTTGGGATGTAAACTGACTCCACTAGGTCTTTCTCCTGAGGAACTACTAGTGAAAGATGAGCTGCCAACTCTTTGGTTAGCAGCTGTTGTTGTTGTTGTTAAGTGACATTGAGTTGAGCATGATTCATAGCCATCCTATGAACAAAAGACCTGAACTTGTTCTATAACTATTGATGCTTCTCTAAGTTCATAGTGCTTCTGAAGGCATGTTGTTTAGGAAGTGGATACCACTCCTGCTTCCAAAATATATACAAATACATAGGGTTCATTATATACATACAAAGGAGCTCTGGTGGCTTAGTGGTAAGGAATTGTGTTTCCAGAAGAAAGACAGGCAATCTCCTCCGCTGTGATACTGCCTCTGAAAATCTTCTGGAGGCTCAGCTTTGAGTTGGTTCTGACCCAGTGGTACATTGTGTTGTTATTGTGGTTATGTCTAGTCGCCTGCGACTCATAGCAAATCTATGTACAACAATAGTACATAACAACAACAATAACAGCAGCAACAACATATACATACATACATACATACATACATACATACATACATACATACATAGACTTTCAGCTATATATGATTTCTGATAATATTTTCCAAGTTATATGAAAAATGACCTCTAGAATGTAAAAGGTCATTGGAAATAATTTAACCTGGTTCCCTATTTTATGGTGTTAGGATCAGAGTCCAGGATTAATAAGAATATTGGTCAAGATCATTATAAACCTAGCTAGTGGCAGAATCAGGAGTACAATCCATGCTTGTTATTTGCCAAGATTCTTCTCACTTCTGTTGCTCTTGTTAAATAGAATTAAAAAATATTCTTAGTTTACCTTTAAAGGAGAAATTCAGCTGAAAGTACTACATGAAAAAATTGAATTTCATAACATGAATGGTGGAGGGAAAGGAATAAAAGGCAGCTTATCTCTTCCAGGTCTGGAACATTTAGTTCATTATCTTATTAAGTCCAATTTTCACCCTTAGAGTAGGTAAAACTGCTCAAGGAGACCATTTTGATTTTTCCATGGTCATGCGGTCTCAATTCAACTTTCAGTCATTATTGCATGCTTAGAATATTCTCTGCTTAGAATACCGTTTAAATTGGTGCAGTAATTTCTGTCAAGCTGTGTAAAACTAACCAGATATAAACTCCCTCCATCTTCCTTGGCTAGTTTGGCTGTCAGAAATTTTTCTTTAAGGAACCCTCTCACGTTCACCTTTCTAAAAGGAAGTCTTTATACAGGATATTGGCTCAAGAGGTGATGCTCTGCTCAAACAATGCATAGAGGTAACTTACACAAGGTGCTGGAGGCAGGTCCATATCTATACCGCACCCCATATACTGACCGGAGTGCATTAACAGCTTTATAAGCTGCAGATTCCTGTGGGGGATAAATGGAGAAATATTATTGCATTGCAAGTAGAAACAAAACATAAACAAAAAATAATGGGATGTTGCTTAGTCTTATTGGTTATCAATACAGAAAATAATAGGCTTGTAATTGAAAATATTATTTTAATGATATTGTAGTATTTTTATACCAGTCTCTGTTATATAATTACCACATTTGAAAGTGCATTATAACACTTGATTTGATCTTCACAATAAGTCAGTAAGCAGAGAACATTTCCATTTTGCAGATGAGAAAAAGGAAGTCTATGATTAATAGGAAAAGGAAGTTTAATATAGGGAGCTCTTGCCTAGTGGCAAGAAGATGTGCTGCAATACCGGAAGGCACCACCACCTGCTCTGTGAAAGAAGAATGGGCAGTCTCCTGCACTGTGATGAACGGTCTCCGAAAACCCGCTGGGGGATCAGTTATGGGTTGGTTCCAACTGTACAGTACATAACAATAAGTGAGGTTAAGCAAGCAAGCAAGCAAGGATTATGTACCAAAGAGAGTGGTTAATGTGGGTTAAGTAACTATCTTCTAAAGCTGAATTAGTGTTTTTTTCCTAGTTCAAGTATTTCAAGGACATCTATTTCTATTAACTACAAAATTTATAAAAGGGAAGGGCCATGTCAAAATATGTAAAAGGACAGGGACCATGCCAGTCTACTCAAAACTATATTTGTGGTACGTAGCAATGTGCCTGCATGTAACAGATGCTTAGTATTTATCGCATGAGTATCGAATAAGCACAGATCTACAAAAGTATCAAGATAATCTTGTTGATTCTTCAGTACATGTGTTAGTGGATAAAGTGAAAGGTATTTAAAACACAATTGAAAAAAAATTACAATTGGATCAATTAAGAAGCACTTGAATCCAAGGAGAAATCGTTCTTTTATGCCAGATTGCATGTTTATCCTTATTGGGCATGGGACTAATTTCAGAATGTTGCATGATTTCTAGGTTATACACGCCTCTGACAGACCTTGGCCAGGTACTCCTAAGATGTATTAATTTTAAAGTTGAACTCTTCCTTTCTACCAGTACTCCAAATCAGGAAAAATAATAAGTGCAGTCAAAATAGATGGTAAATATTCTAATGTGAAGTAGAATGATAGGAGTACCCTTTAACTTTTAAAAATAGTATCAGAGCACTAGTTTCAGCAAGGAGTTGGAGAAGTATCATATGACAAGTGAGAGGAAAAGAAGTATGTTGAAACCAATATACAGCTCTCCCATTTCAATTTGCCTATGAATAATTGAAAAATTGAGGCATTCAGGGCATCATGGTGGGGTGTATTGGAATGAGCTTCAGATTGCAGTCCTCATTCAGCTCAGAATGGAGATGACAATGTTTGCACCAAATGGCATCTTTGTGGGGATTCAGGGATTTGGCATCAGATCCTGTCTAACCAATTAACTATTGATCTTACACATGATGACCTTCTCCTCAGAGGAGCCAACAGAAAAGAAATGCAAACGCTATAATGAGTGTCTTTATAGATAATAAGCTAAGATCTTCTTTTAGCATTCTCTGTAATGTTCTCAGCAATTCTTTAAACAAGGCTTTGAATCAGTTTATTCTGGTTGACTCCTGCTGAGAATATACATTTCTTTCACAGTTATGTACTGAATCTGAGTCTACATTTTACTGAATCCGAGTCTATATTTTGACCAGATTCCTGGGTGATTCTTATGTATGCCTCTGAGTAGATTTATACTTCCTGCCTTTCAGCTATCAGTTGAGTGCCTGACTATTTCTGCCATGCAGGTATAAATCAGAAAAGGACCTAAGCCTGCCTTACTGGTTCTCAGCTAAGTACGAAGTATCTGTACATTTAATGAAAATGAGGTGGATTGATTCAGTGACTGGGTTAATCGGGATGGGTGTGTCAGGGACAGTGTGATTGGCACAGGACAGAGCAGAGCAGAGTTTAGGGCTGTTGTACATAGGGTCGCTATGAGTTGCAAGTGACTCGACGGCACATAACAACAACAACAACATCTAAATATTTAATGTAAATATTTCCATAGTTGTAGTTATCTTAGGTCATCAAGTTGATTCTGATTGGTGGTGACCCCATGAGTTATACAGTAGAACTGCTCCACAGGAATTTCTTGGATCTTTAAAGAAGTTGATGAACATGGTTTTTTTCTCAGTTCCACTATGTGGTGTGAATGGCCAACTTTCTGATTACTAGCTGAGTGCAAATTGTTTATGCCACTTAAGGACTTAAAGTAACTTAAAGAATGACTTTGAAAGAATATTTGTGGAAATACAGACTCCTAAATATATAATTCTGAATAATTATACCTTTACAGTTAACTTTAGAGACTATTCAGTTTCTGAGAAGTGTAATTTTGTTTGGTTTTTTCCCCCATTTAGTTAAAACCATAATGTCTCAGTTTTAGAACTGTTGATATTTTGAGTCAGATAACTCTTTGTTGTGACAATTCTTTATTGCATCCTATGCATTGCAGAATTTTTGGTTTCTATTCATAAGATTCTATTAGCATCCTGCTACCAGTTTGTGATGATGAAAAATGTCTCTAGACTTTAAAAAAAATCTCTGGGGTCAAACTGAACAACTGACCTATTCTTATATGATATTATTTTCACTGTCAAGTTGGAACTGACCCACAGCTGACTCCCCAGGGGGTTTTTAGAGGCAGTTTATCATACAGGAAGATATTGCCTATCTTTCTACCATAGAATAGCTGGTGAATTTAAACCATGTGCCTTCAGGATTATAGGTGCATCTTCTTACCATTAGCCCACCAGAGCTTCCTTATCCTTTGACTAGTAGTCAAGTATTTCAAAGTATAATGAGAAAGGTTGTATTTCTTTTTTCATAAAAGTGGAGCAAATTCTTATATCATAGTTTGGCAGACAGTGTTTGGTGGAGCTCCAAGATTAAAACAAGCTTGGAAGAAGGAGTGATATCCACTTCTGATATAGCTTGCCTCTGGAAACCCTGTGAACTTGGAGAAATGATGAAAATGATGCAAATATTCAAATCTTTTGTTTATAGGGTTGCTATGAGTCGCCTATGACTCAACAGCACTTAACAGCAACAACAACATACAAATATAGGGAGCTCTGGTGGCCTAATGGGTTAAGAGTTGTGCTGCAAATCCACACTGTAAACAGTTTGAATCCACGAACTGATCCATGGGAGAAAGATGTGCAATCTCCTCCCATGTGGTTTATGGCCTCTGAAAACCTACTGGAGAGTCCACTATAAGTTGATTCTGACTGGATGACATGTAACAATAACATTAACACAAAAGTATAGCTTAAGAGTCTTGTGGGTTTGGTTTCAGACCACCATGATAAAGTGCGTATTCTAATAAAGTGAGTTACATTATTTTTTTGGTTTCCCATTGCACATAAACAGAAGAGTGTCTGTGTTTTATTGACTGTGCAAAGGCATTTGATTATGTGGATCACACCAAATTGTGGTTAACCTTAAAGAGAGTGAGAATCTCAGAGTATGTAATTGTGCTCATGTGAAACCTATACTCGGACCAGGAAATAGTTCTCAGAACAGAGCAGGGAAACACTTAATGGTTCAAAATCAGGAAAGGAGTGTGTCAGGGATGAATCCTGTATCCATCTCTTTTCAATCTATATGCAGAACAGAGCATTCAAGAGGCTGGACTTTATGAGGAAGAATGTGGCATCAGGACTGGAGGAAGACTAACCAACTATCTACGTATGCAGGAACAACCCTGCTTGCAGAAACTGAGGAGGACATGAAGTGCTTGCTGCAGAAAGTCAAGGACTATATTGTTTGTTGTTGTCATGTGCTGTCGAGTTGCTTGCGACTCATAGCGACCCTATGTACAACAGCCCTAAACTCTGATCTGTCCTGTGCCAATCGCACTGTCTCTGACACTCTCATCCCGATTACCCCAGTCACT